AGGTAGGTACCAGAGAGCATGCATGGAATGCAGAGCGCCGAGTGCGTCGATGTTGAGGAATGATACCATATTATGCCGTCCTAAATAAAGCTTAGTAAGCTTGCATGAGAGAAATTGTTCGAAATGTTTGTGCGGTTCAGTACAATATTGATTACGTTTGCTTAATGTTTGCACTTTGCTATGTATTTACTGCAGTAGTATTTTATTAGTTTCTTATCATGTCGGCACGTTTATCATATTCACAACAAGCAGGTTAACTGGTTTAAATATCGATCAGATAAGTGGAGTAGCATAGGTTTGCTTGAATTATTGATGACGGGTTATATTTAGTGCAATCGATTAGTTGACCATAAATTCGCCGATGTTTACAGGAAACATTAAAAAGTGAGGAATTAACGGGCGTTGGTGTTTGGGTTGTTTCAGTGCCGTGGCGCGGGCCATATGTTTACGTTATAAATACGGACGCGTGCACGCGTAGGTGCGCCGGCGCATGATGTATGCCAGAAACGCCCACTTTCGATATTTTATAAAATTGACAATGTTAATAATATGTAGAAAAATTATTAATGTTATTTATTGTATATTACGGAGCTCATGACGAAATACATGGAAAAAAAATCGGGAACGCTAATGTTGAATGTAGTCAATACATGTACATTTTGTACATTAATCTGCATCGTACACCTGTTTACATCCTAGAAATAAATTGCTAATTTCTTAGTTAAAGTCGATTAATTCTATAATAAAAAGTGCCAGAACAGTCGGTAACAACAGTTTAACTAAGACTCGATGGCACATTTTATTTGCTCTCACGAACCGTGCCAAATATTTAATTAAAACCGATCGCGGTAATTAAATCCCAGTCAGTTTGGTCCGTAATTGAAAGTATCTGATAATACCTCAAGCTGCGTGACCTCCTTCTTTGATTAGCATCTACAAACGGTTGCTATAGCCGTTGTTTGATTCAACAGTTTCACGATGTTTCACCTCTCCGTTGTTTTGTAAAGGCGGTGGTATCTCCAAGTACTTGCTTTACGGATGCAATGAAAACGAAGGAAAGTAGGTAAAGCTAAGGATATTCAAATTGAGCTAAAACATAACAAACAAAATATATTTTATTTTCATACCACCGTCATTTGAATACACTTGTTTGTAACACATTAATTTAATTAAGCCGATAGATATCAATGAAACCCGATCGCACTGACATTCGATCACCTGGCAGTTAAATATACATGTAGGCCCTTTTAGGGTACAAAACGTAGACGTCATTTATTATTATTTATTTACTTATTCCACACTCGAACCGAGTAGTTAAAATGATAACAAATTATTTACCGCACTATCTAAACGTTATCTAAATTATACTGCAGATACCGATACCAATGTATGGGCTGGTCTGCGTCATAGCATTTAGTCATCCCAACTAATATTATAAATGCGAAAGTAACTCTGTCTGTCTGTCTGTCTGTCTGTCTGTCTGTCTGTCTGTCTGTCTGTCTGTCTGTTACGCTTTCCCGCTTAAACCTCGCTACCGATTTTGATGAAATTTGGCATAGAGATAGTTTGAGTCCCGGGAAAGAACATAGGATAGTTTTTATCCCGGTTTTTGAAACAGGGACGCGCGCGATAAAGTTTTTCTGTGACAGACAAAATTCCACGCGGGCGAAGCCGCGGGCGGAAAGCTAGTTATTAATAAACTTGCATTTTTCATTTAGAAAATACTTGAACACCATGAATGACTATGCTTTGGAAATTACATCCAATAAGAAACAATTGTGCTCTTTAGCTCTATTGCTTCAGATCAAATAGATTGGCCTAATACTAAATGATGTGTCATTCACTGGATATATCATGTCATGACTGAGATGTGCAGTTGACATTTAACAAAATGTTGCAAATGGGTATAAAAAATCGTGATTTAATAACTTTGTTGCAACACTTTTAATTATGTTAATGAAGATTAATCTAAAATTATTTGATGATTCTGTAATCTATATAAATAAAACCGGCCAAGTGCGAGTCGGGCTCGCGCACAAAGGGTTCCGTAGCAGCAAATATAATAAACCTATTATGTCAATTTATACACCTGGTGAATGGAGACTAAACTCTCCCGATATTTTGCCTTGTACTTTTATGTATGAATATTAATTTTATATATGTATTTATAAATATTCCGAGCTAAAGAGGTGGCAAAAGCAATGGCAAACAAACCACAATCAATAGTATTCGGTTGTCGCTGAACACTTGGAAACTGAATACATGACTCCGATAGATACGGAAACAAGGCTTTTACATATATTTTTTGCGATTTTCCTAGAACACCAACAAGACTATCGTACACACGCAGTATTCCATTAATGTAATAAATACAACTCCAGTGCCCCACTAATCCCACGTCACCGTCATAAATTACTTGAAGGTGCGTCTCATTTTTAGGTACAGGTTCAATCAGTTCAGGGTGTTGAAATAATTCTAGCTCACGCGGTCTAAATGATGTGCACCGAAGTAACTTTTCATGAAATGCGCGAACCACATCATCTTCGATATAGTTATTATAATTCAGAATGTAGGAAAACGTATTATCTAAAGTATCCATTGTTAGATGATATACAATAAGCTTTAGAAATTTTAAAAACCTGCTACGAAACACTAAAATTTGCACCAAAAACAAAGGAATTTATATTATTGGGGGATTTATTAGTACGTGACCGGTTTAATAGCACCTATTAAACCAGTATACCTACTTACTTATTTTTTATAATAGGTACAATTCAATATTAAAAAGTCTCAACGCCAAATTCGACTTGCGAAAGAAGTAAATGGGAACGATGAAATTCTCTTAGCGCGCACAAGTGACAACGACGTCTGCCCTCACGTGTCTGCCCGTTCGGGTCGACGCGGTTAGCTATCTTATCCCCGCTCCCGCGCGAGACCACGCCCCGCAACTCACGCGCTGCAGCGCAGCGAGCGACCGATCTTCTTGAATCGATGTAATAATAATCTATAGGATTAACGCGTTTTAAAAATATTGGTTCGATGGATATGTTTAACCTATTATTACTCAACAATCACATTTGTAATATTAAACTTTATCAAATGCACAATGTATTTAAGGTACATTACTGGATAAGGATTAATGGCGTATTGCTTGAATAAGCTAATATTTCTCGTAAAAAGTACCTACATTATAAAGATTTTATATCATCGCGGATTTTAAAAGGTGTACAATACTGTAGTATATTTTTTGATCTATCTTATAAGGTTCAGCCATCGTTTTCAGTGTAAGCACAATAACTTAACCAAAATTACAGTTAAATCAACCTATCTCAAAAACTATAAGAGATACTTTGATCAAACCAAAAATCGTTGAAAGAGTTAATTAGCATGCATCACCTCTATTTTTTTTAGAATTTTATACCCCGTAGTTATAAAAATAGAGGGGGGGGGACATACTTTTTACGACTTTGAGAGCTGATATCTCAAAAACCGTTCACTTTAAGAAAAATGTTTTTTAGAAAACTTTATATCATTTTAAAAGACCTTTCCATTGATACCCCACACGGGTATGTACATCGAAAAAAAAATTTTCATCCCTCAGTTACATGTATGGGGGGCCCCACCCCCAATTCTTTTTTTTACTATTTAGTGTCATAATTTTGTAGCGGTTCATACAACACATATTCCCATCAAATTTCATCACTGTAGTACTTATAGTTTCCGAGTAAATCGGCTGTGACAGACGGACAGACGGACAGACGGACATGACGAAACTATAAGGGTTCCGTTTTTGCCATTTTGGCTACGGAACCCTAAAAATGAATTGATGTTCGTTAGTCTGATTAAAACTCGAGAACGGCTGGGCCGATTGAGCTGATTTTGGCTTTAAAATGTTTGTCGTAGTCCAGGGTAGGTCTAAACGGTGAGCAAATACGCGCGCGACATTGTTTTTCTGTGACAGACAAAATTCCACGCGGGCGAAGCCGCGGGCGGAAAGCTAGTCAATCATATAAATAAGTAAACACTTTAAAGAATAATGTAAAATGTAATAATATCTTCGACCTTTTCAAAGCTCGCTTCGCCTGACCTCGATTAATTGAATAAGTAATGTTCTCGTACCATTTTCGCAGGCTGAATCAAAAGTGGGTCGGGATCTACCTATAGCATTATAATGGAATTAAACTAGTTCTACAATACCACACGATATATCAAGGTTAAACAGCTATAATAAATGGTTATTATATTGACTGAAGCTGAGGTACACTATAGTTAGCTATAGTGGATTCACTGATTCACACGATACGACGAATAAAATTAGGATGTTTGTGATTGGTCATTTGAACATAACAATATTAAACAAGTTATAAATTATTGTTGCTCATGTCCTAAGAAAAACTGAATTGAAGGGCATACTACGGGCTAAGCAAGGGTCGCGTAGGCGGATTCATTTGTGTAATCAAAAGGGTTATAAAATTGAGCATGCCCTTAATCTTGCAATAAGTATTTAATTTTTATGAACAACGACTTTCATTGTAATTAGAACAAATATGTATGTGATGCTTTTGTATCGAAAATTTCGATATTATGCTGCATCTGAAAAGTTTCCTCTATTTTCAAAATCTAAATATGTACTTTTCAGGACCTAAAGGTAGTATCGAAATTGCGGTGTGGAGACGCGTGTTCTTCTCCACTTTTTACTTAAATATCGAGCATCCTCGCATTCCTCGCAATGTCGATACACGCCAAAGGCCTTATGGTGTTCTTTTTGTTATTTTATACCCAGTGTTAATTTCATCTATATCAATAAACGCGAAAGGATTGACTGACTCACTCACTCCTCACGAAATCTCAGAAACTACAAGTGCTAGAAGTCGTAGGTGCTCAGTGCTCACTAAGACGGGATTTTGTAAAATTCAACCCCTAGGAAGTAAAACGGGATTCATTCGTACGAAGTCGCGGATGACCGCTAGTTGCTAATAGTTTTGTTTATTTGTTTCCAGGAGGACTGGATGAGGTGACACGATGGACGCGGCCGACAAGCGCATGCTGGACCGCGAGGCGCTCCGAAACATGATCCAGCAGTGGAACGCCAACCGGCTCGATCTGTTCGAACTCAGCGAACCGAACGAGGTAACGACATTTACTAGTTTGTTCTATTGCCTCACCAGCTTCGGCTGGCAGCGCCTCTTGCGTGTCATTTACTTTGTCACAGCCAATATTCGGTTATTTTAGTACGCGCCTAAAATTATTGGTAGAAAAAGTCACATAAATTATAAAACAGTTCCACAGTTTTATTTATTTATTTATATTAGGGAAACAAACAATTTTGATATACAGACAAATAATCACACAAAAAATAGGACAGAAATCAGCAAAGTTTCCACAGTTACAATTAATTTAAACTTTTGAAAGTGTACATAGATAAAAGAATGTCTACCATTTGTAGCCCAGTCGAAATATCACAAATTCATTGCAGATAATGCAACTGAAATAAGATAACAATTTCGCTATCGTTACAATCTCACAATCTATTTTCTGATCGTGTAATTGACGTAGATAAAGAAATATAAAACAAGGTTTTTAAAATACACCTGTTTAAATCTCTACATAAATTATGAATTGAATTTGTTATTCATGAATCTCTTTGAATTGTGATTGGATCACAGTTAGTGATAAACTTGATAATATACCAATATACACTCACGATGATGAGCTAGTCAATGGAACATGTTATCTCACGGTCATTGTGTAATGTGTTGACTAATGACACACAATAGTCTTGCGAGTACATAGCTGAGCTTCAACGGAAGTAGAGAGTAAAACCCGTTGGATGTTATAGTAGAAAATCATATACCGAAGATCGGATTTTTTGTATCATAGAGATAGTTGTAATTAGTTTTCTCAAATTCATTTCAACCATTCTCAGGTGGAATAGGAACCGACGACTTTCCGAATGCTCTGGTTTAACCACTGAGCTACAGAATGTCCGAATTTCAAGTTATTTATCTACGTTTCAGCTAGCGTCATTTGATTCTATTATTTTTTAAATATTATACTATTACTCAAGATAGAATTGTAAGAAAAATATCTAATTAATATTAATAGTTATTTGCGTGTCAATCAAATATAATATTGCACATGACCAATACCAGCTAAGATTATTCATTTATCTAAAATCGTAATTAATTAGACGCGTATTCAACGTTTCATATCTTTTATTTATTATCATTTTCACTTAATTGTGATGATCGATCTGCATATAATTAGATATTACATATGCTTTCAGTACAAGCATATAATGTTCTGCCGATAAATGCATCCGATATAATAAGCTGTCAATAGCAAGTGTCCGCAGGAAATGCGTTCGATACACGCAATTAACGTACATACTAAACGTCGCTTGGCGCTAGCCGTACGGGAAACTAACTTTCCTTGGATCTTGTTTAATGTTTGCAATATAATTAAAATCTAACACTAAGTTATTTTCTTTTTAAATATCGCCGCGCAGACCGTAAATCTCTTTAACGAATCTATAAATCTGTATTTCATACGCGCTACGTTATTGTATTCTTGATTGGCTCATTGGCATGATACAATATTGCGAGGGATAAGGCCACTGAAAATAACAGATTTACATTACATTTCCCTTTCAAGAAAGTTTTGAGTCACGCAAAGCGCTGTATAAACATTTTAGCATAGATAAACCTTTGTTAGCATTTCCTTATCTAAATGATAAGCGTTTTGTGTCTACCTGTTTTGTTGAACCTTTTGTGTGATATCTTGTTCTTATTTTAGCATTGAGTTGGGCTAAAATAGAACATTTGCAAAACTAAACCACATCCGATGATTCATAAATTTTAATATCATTTGTGAATCATCATAGAACTATTTATTGTAAATGTAGCGCATAATGCAACCATTATAAGATAGCGATACTTAACCATTAAATAAAAACTATTTTACTACTAGCTCCCACTGAAAATCAGTTTTGAGACATGACTCTCTGGCTGTCTCAAGGTTTGCTGAGCGGAGCTTTATTGGCTAAAGGCGCATTAGCAGTTCTTTGCATGAGAAATGTTCATCATCTCTCTGGATGTGTGTCTTTCTTGTTACTATGGTCAAATAAAATAATATTCTATTCTACTAGTTATATGAACTTTCGTGCGTAAGTTTATAATGTTTGAACTATTTTGTTTCAGAACTTGGAGTTCCATGGGGTCATGCGCTTCTACTTTCAGGATTCCGGACAGAAGATAGCCACCAAATGCATCCGTGTCGCGTCCGATGCCACAGTTAGCGATGTCATAGGTAAAATAGCGTAATAATTCGTAATCATGAAACTAAATAGTCGTTGTTAATTTCGGAGTGAAGCCCAAAATTACTTAGGTAGCTGAAACGTGTAATAGTATATTTCTTCATCAAACCCAAAGCTTAATGCTGTTTCTAAATATAATCATCATCGCTGTACGGACTTGTAACTTGTTCAGTTTTTCTTTACATTATGTCAACAGTCTGATATGATTAATTATAAGGAAATTAATAATTATGCACGTACATAATAAAATTATGCACGTAGCACTTTCAAATGTCCGCTGGTCATTCAGTATGTTATTTGTTTCCTAACCCCGCGGCCTGTGTGGTTTCTTGGTAATTAGAAGTCATTACCTTGTTCTTAACTTGCATCATAAACGGACGGATACAGTTAAGTATACGACGAAAATTATCACCAGGAATTGAGTACACGCATATTAGCCTAGATAGTTGATAATTTCTTACAAACTTTGACTCTCGACATTAGTATCTCGATGTCAATGGGTTATCGAGTTCAGTATGCAACTAGGTAAAACATTATGAATGTTTATGATAGATAATATTAATTAAGTGGTGGTTCAGTGACCTACATTATCTTTATCTCCGTGTGATTGTTTAATTAACGGACAATTGGTCTAATTTTATTAATTAAGTAATTTAGTATTATTTTTAATATTTTAATTGATGTTGTACACAGAGACGCTGATCGAAAAGTTCCGTCCAGACATGCGTATGCTGTCTCTCGGCTCGTACTCTCTGTGGGAGACGCACGGGCCCGACGACGAGCGCCGCCTCGAGCCTCACGAGAAGCCGCTTCTCGTGCAGCTCAACTGGCATACTGAGGACCGCGAAGGACGGTTCCTACTCAAGTGCCTTAGCAACAATGAGGTATGCATCTAAAACATTACAGTATAGGTCCCAAAATAGACCCCTGAGGTACTTCTTACGATGCCTATAGGTCCCAAAATAGACCCCTGAGGTACTTCTTACGATGCCTACGACGATGTTTCTGAGCGGCAAGAGAAGCCGCTGCTCGTGCAGCTCAACTGGCATACTGAGGACCACGAAGGACGGTTCCTACGCAAGTGCCTTAGCAACAATGAGGTATGCATCTAGAAACATACAGTATAGGTCCCAAAATAGACCCCTGAGGCACTCCTTACGATGCCCACGACGATATTTCGGAGCGGCAAGAGAAGCCGCTGCTCGTGCAGCTCAACTGGCATACTTAGGAACGCGAGGGACGCTTCCTACTCAAGTGCCTTAGCAACAATGAGGTATGCATCTAAAACATACAGTATAGGCCCAAAGTAGACCCCTAAGGTACTTCTTACGATGCCTATAGGTCCCAAAATAGACCCCTGAGATACTTCTTACGATGCCCACGACGATGTTTCTGAGCGGCAAGAGAAGACGGTGCTCGTGCAGCTCAACTGGCATACTGAGGACCGTGAGGGACGATTCCTACTCAAGTGCCTTAGCAACAATGAGGTATGCATCTAAAACATACAGTATTGGTCCCAAAATAGACCCCTGACCCTGAGGCACTCCTTACAATGCCCACGACGATGTTTCTGAGCGACAAGAGAAGCCGCTGCTCGTGCAGCTCAACTGGCATACTGAGGACCGCGAAGGACGGTTCCTTCTCAAGTGCCTTAGCAACAATGAGGTATGCATCTAAAAACATACAGTATAGGTCCCAAAATAGACCCCTGAGGTACTTCTTACGATGCCTATTGGTCCCAAAATAGACCCCTGAGATACTTCTTACGATGCCCACGACGATGTTTCTGAGCGGCAAGAGAAGACGCTGCTCGTGCAGCTCAACTGGCATACTGAGGACCGCGAAGGACGGTTCCTTCTCAAGTGCCTTAGCAACAATGAGGTATGCATCTAAAAACATACAGTATAGGTCCCAAAATAGACCCCTGAGGTACTTCTTACGATGCCTATTGGTCCCAAAATAGACCCCTGAGATACTTCTTACGATGCCCACGACGATGTTTCTGAGCGGCAAGAGAAGACGCTGCTCGTGCAGCTCAACTGGCATACTGAGGACCGCGAAGGACGGTTCCTTCTCAAGTGCCTTAGCAACAATGAGGTATGCATCTAAAAACATACAGTATAGGTCCCAAAATAGACCCCTGAGGTACTTCTTACGATGCCTATAGGTCCCAAAATAGACCCCTGAGGTACTTCTTACGATGCCTACGACGATGTTTCTGAGCGGCAAGAGAAGCCGCTGCTCGTGCAGCTCAACTGGCATACTGAGGACCGCGAAGGACGGTTCCTACGCAAGTGCCTTAGCAACAATGAGGTATGCATCTAGAAACATACAGTATAGGTCCCAAAATAGACCCCTGAGGCACTCCTTACGATGCCCACGACGATATTTCGGAGCGGCAAGAGAAGCCGCTGCTCGTGCAGCTCAACTGGCATACTTAGGAACGCGAGGGACGCTTCCTACTCAAGTGCCTTAGCAACAATGAGGTATGCATCTAAAAACATACAGTATAGGCCCAAAGTAGACCCCTAAGGTACTTCTTACGATGCCTATAGGTCCCAAAATAGACCCCTGAGATACTTCTTACGATGCCCACGACGATGTTTCTGAGCGGCAAGAGAAGACGCTGCTCGTGCAGCTCAACTGGCATACTGAGGACCGCGAAGGACGGTTCCTTCTCAAGTGCCTTAGCAACAATGAGGTATGCATCTAAAAACATACAGTATAGGTCCCAAAATAGACCCCTGAGGTACTTCTTACGATGCCTATTGGTCCCAAAATAGACCCCTGAGATACTTCTTACGATGCCCACGACGATGTTTCTGAGCGGCAAGAGAAGACGCTGCTCGTGCAGCTCAACTGGCATACTGAGGACCGCGAAGGACGGTTCCTACTCAAGTGCCTTAGCAACAATGAGGTATGCATCTAGAAACATACAGTATAGGCCCAAAGTAGACCCCTGAGGTACTCCTTACGATGCCCACGACGATGTTTCTGAGCGGTAAGAGAAGCCGCTCTTCTTGCAGCTCAACTGGTATAGTGAGCACCGCGTTTCCTAAGTGCCATTGCAACAATGCGGTAAGAACACAGCAACATAAAGTATAATCCCCAATATGGACTCTTGTGGCACTCCCTAAAGTGCCTACCATGATGCCTCGAGCAGCCAGAGAAGTCACTTCTCGTGCAACTCAACCGGCATACTGATGACCGTGATCCTATTCAAGTGCCTTAGCATCAATGAGATAGGTACCCAGGAGTAGTCTCAAAATATACCCCTGAGGTACTCTCTAGTAAAGTCTAGTACGATACCTTAAGCAGTGGAAACCGCTCGTATAGGATAGGGTCCCAAAATGGATCCCTGTAGTATTCCCTTCGATTCCTCGTCACTAAGGCATCGACTATTTGCTCGAGCCACACAACGATTTAGTACAAGCCCCAACACATACAGCCTAGCCCAGACGTACTTACTACGACGCCGCCTCGGACCTCATGAGACGAGAAGAATTAATCTCCATTATTTTGTCGGTCCCAACATAGTTTGTAACTTATCGAAGGGCATTTTATATTTACCTACTAACAAAAACTTTCGTTATTAATTTAAATTTCATCTTATTTATTGTTGTTTTTCTCAGGTTCCACTCTCAGGGGTCAACGAAAAAGGTGACCAAAATTTCAAACGGAAATTGTCCAAACGAGAGAAGAAGGAACTAAAGAAGAAAGAAAAATTATCGAGATTAAAATCCGACACAAACGACGAAACTCGACCAGTAGCCGAAAAGCTTTATACAGGTAAATAAAGTGTAATCTGATTTGGATTTGATTGATTGATATTTCATTAGGTACGTACACAAACATGCCCGCGCCTTCACTTTTTGTGTTCCGAAGCAATAAATAATGAGTTTAATGGCCTCTGAAATTATGTAGAGTTATTTATTGTGAAAGAATCAGACAAGCATTTCTGTAAATTGACACATATTTTTATCAAAGAGTTGTTTTGCTTATATCACGAAGTTATTTCAATTATTCACTACCATGGTCAAATACGTCATGCAAGTCAGAAAAGAAATGTCGTTAGCCACAAAAACGCTGAACAAAGTGAACAACTTTGTTCTTAATGAAAATACGACAGCGTTTCATAGTTTTGTATGTAAGCTGCAAGCAGGCGTACACTAAGTTTATAATGGCGGAATATACGTCTATGAAACGACGCCTCCGTAGACGTAACACTTAATATCAGTGTGCTTATCATGATTTTACATTAATTAGGTATGTGCTCGCTAGCTAGCGACTGCGTAAAAAAATGTCATGAAATGTATGACAGTTGATACAGACAGCGCTCCTAGCGGTTACTTTCAGAAACTAAAATTTTCATAGATTTTTAATACACTCAATAGCGATGACGTTCCTACGTTCGTAAACTCGTGGTTAAGCCGACCATTGATTTTTCGTCGGCCGATAGTTTAGTCGGGCAGTTGATCAGTATGCGCATGTATGGAATTGCGCACATTACACCGATTCGATTTTTCCGATTCTTCATGCAATTTAAATCGGGCACAACTATCGGCCAACTAAAAATCGGTGGACTGCGCCTAGTCTAAGTCCCCGTTCGTATTTGGCCGCAGAATTGCCGGAGACGTCATTCACGCGCAGCATCAGCAACCCGGAGGCGGTGATGCGCCGGCGCCGCCAGCAGAAGCTCGAGCGCAAGCTGCAGCAGTTCCGCAGCAAGGACGGTGGGCCCGACACCGGTGAGCTCACTCGCACTACACTTGCGGTTAAATGAGGCATAATACACAACGATAGGCTAGTTCACACACTAGTCAATAGCCGCCAGGTATTTAGGTGCACGATCCAATGTGTAACGGACGGATGAGTTGTTGAACTATGTCCTCAAGAATATCCCTAGACCCTAATTTTATTATTTTTACCCTAATTTAATTATTAATATCAATAGTATAAGTAATTTTTACTAACCCTATAAGTCTGCTTCTCATTACTAGCATGCCGTGGAAACACGTTATAGGATTACTATCTTGCTTAACACCATTGTAAATTAAGTATTAATCTAACCAAATGATGTAATCTGTTGTGTTTTCCAATAAAAAAAAAAAAAAAAAAAAATGAACTGTCAAAACACGCCTCTCCCATAGATTTTTCTTGTGGCAAAGACAAGCTAAGACGTCACTTTTTCGTCAGCTCAACTGACTAATATTACGATTATACTAATATATTATTTACCGACTTCAAATATACTAATTTTAAGGTCAATAGTCACTAATTGGTTTTATAACTCAATAGTTTGGTCAAATTGTCCATCTATCGAGAGATTAACATGCAGAAGTGCATGGCTAACTCTCTTATGTGACCTATTTCTTGCGTGCCACTAGGCCCAGTGCATTTTGTGAAACTAGGCTGAGTACCGAGAGACTCGCAACTCAAACCAGTGATAATAGTGATATTATCACTTAATGAAATCTATATTTTATTGTTGCAGGCGGCACCCTGAAGATCTACGGATCATCCCTATGCCCTGACGTACCGTACAAGACACTGCTGCTCTCCGTGGGCGACTCGGCGGCGGCCGTGGTGCGCGAGATGCTGGACAAGTACGGGCTGTCGCGCCAGGACCCGCAGCACTACTGCATCGTGCAGGTGCGCTTGTGTATAGCTCGCTCAACTGATGTTGAGGCGACAGGAGCCTCTAGGTCGGCGTGTGAGACACACGGGTCGTTGCTATGTCCCGACGTGTACAAGACACTACTACTCTCCGTGGGCGACTCGGCGGCGGCCGTGGTGCGCGAGATGCTGGACAAGTACGGGCTGTCGCGCCAGGACCCGCAGCACTATTGCATCGTGCAGGTGCGCTTGTGTTATAGCTTGCTCAACTAATGTTGAGGCGACAGCAGCCTCTAGGTCGTACACCGGTCGTACTGTGCCTCAACGTGTCATACAAGACTGCGGCTTTTAGTAGGCGACGCTGCATCGTCACGGTAATACTATCTATACAGTATTCCAACTCGGCCATATTTTTGAAATAAATGTCAACAGCCCCACGGTACGTCACGGTATGACAACATGTGATAGGGCTGCTCACCTACAGTACCCATTCTAATTACATCTGCCTACTTAGAATTTCTATCTAGTTTTGTGATTATATTTTTTTTTTATTAAGACAAACAAAAGTATTTTGTTTGTTTGAATGGAATAGGATAAAAATGCGTGTTGTTTTGTGATCAGTAGTTTTATTAAAATAAATACTAAAATAATTTTGAATCTACTAATCATAATGAGTACCTACTTAATGGACCTGTTGTTACTTTAATTTCAGGCGGGCGAAGTCGTGGGCAAAAGCTGGTTTTATACAATATAATTTTCATTTCAAATCAAACTAACTGAAAATGACCATTTTTGACAGTTAATGACTAGTTTTTGACAAATTTAACCGTAAATGACGATCAGTCAAATTCAATCACCTTAGTCATGTTCAACACTAGGCCATCGACGTCCGTTCGGCACATTCGCGACACCCCTGACTTTTGCATCTCGACCGCGTCCCGAGATTTGAAATTTGAAGGAAAGCTCGCGTTTTGTCGGTTTATATGAAGTTACAATACTGTATGATATTGTTACCGTGGCATCGTGCAGGCTCAGTTGTTATAGGTTGTTCAACGAAACTTGAGGCAAACACGTACTCACACTGATGTAATATTTGAATACAGAACACAAACGACACAGTCAAGTTCAAATATTGAATACATTAGCTACCGCGCTCTTGCAAAATGTCTGCAAGCAAGACAGAAAGAACTTGTCAGTTCGACGTCAAGACGTCAGCTCAGACAGCGTATACAAATACAAATATTTGCTTGTGTTGATGGCCTCAACTCTCGTTGCTCGACCTATACCATCCATCACTATACTATGAGGCGACAGAAGTCGTCTAAGTCAATGTATGAGAGACATAGGTCGCCCTGTGCAGTGTCGAGAAGATATCTTCTCTATTAAGAAGCTATGCTGGCAAGAGGAACTGTTACAGATAGTCTTGTCAATACAGAAACGACTTTATTGATAGCTCAACTGAAACGACTCTTAAAACTAGAAGCCTGTGATCAATCACATCAATGTAAATTGTAAAGTAACACAGAGTTGAAGCTATGCTCAAGTTGAATAAATTTATGATTGGTAATTAAATAAGGAGCGGAAGCATTATCCAGCAATGAACGTTATTAATATTTTTTATTAGACATACCTACATCTTCGGTCGAGCTGTTTTTATTTTTGGGGCATAACGTTCCTACCGTGCAGTATACTGTGCGCATTTACATAAATTCAAGCAATTAAGTGACTTGCAAAGGATATTATAAAATGTCTCCGGGTATTATTAGATATAACAAAAGAAATTAGGTTATTGTAATCTCAGCAGTGAATTCGGAACCTCTAAAATATGCTTTGCTAGAGCTCTAAACTAAGCACCGCGTGCACATAACGTGGCCTTAATATAACATTATAAGATTTATAAGATATAATAAATCAAACTCACAATTTCATTAGAAAAGAAAGTGCTAATATGTAATGTAAAACAGCTTATTATCACCATTTGTTGCACTTCATTAGTTATAATAAAACTATTAATGCTTGTAAATTATGTAGGTACTAGCTTTCCGCCCGCGGCTTCGCCCGCGTGGAATTTTGTCTGTCACAGAAAAACAATATCGCGCGCGTATTTACTCATCGTTTAGATCTGGACTACGACAAACATTTTAAAACCAAAAACAGCTCAATCGGCCCAGTCGTTCTCGAGTTATAATCAGACTAACGAACATCAATTCATTTTTATTTTTATTTATATAGATAGATATTATATAGATAGTTAGCGGCCGCCGGCGACTTCGTACGCGTGGATCCCGTTTTACCCCCTTCATCTATCTTAAGCGGTTTAGATTTTTTTCATACAAATGTTTTTCCCGCTAACTCCCGTTCCCGTAGGTATTTTGTAATATCCTGTTGTAACTAAGCTTTAAGTTTACTAAGGTACCTGCATGCCAAATTTCAAGCGTCTATCTTACGCAGTTTAGATTTTTTCATACATATGTTTTTTCCCGCTAACTCCCGTTCCCGTGGGAATTTTACGATATCCTGTTGTACCGAAGCTTTAAATTTACTAAGGTACCTGCATGCCAAATTTCAAGCGTCTATCTTACGCAGTTTAGATTTTTTCATACATATGTTTTTTCCCGGTAACTCCCGTTCCCGTGGGAATTTTACGATATCCTGTTGTACCTAAGCTTTAAATTTACTAAGGTACCTGCACACCAAATTTCAAGCATCTAACTTAAGCGGTTTAGATTTTTCATACAAAAGGATTTTTCCGCTAATTCCCGTTCCCATGGTAATTTCGGGAATTTCTTTCTTAGTGCACCTCTACGGTACCTAAACTACGTCCCTTCCAAATTTCAAGTACCTACGTTTAGCCGTTTAGGCTGTGCGTTGATCTGTCAGTCAGTCAGTCAGTTTCTCCTTTTATATATTTAGATTAAGTCGTAGAACATTTATCGTTCACTAATATATCTAAATGATGTTAAAATAAAAATCAATTATTTTATTGATCTTCACTTTTAAGTAATAAGAAATAGCCTGTGTATTTTAAAATTTTGCAAAATAAATTAGTATAATTATAGTCCAGTCATTATAGTAAGTTCACCTCGGAATTCGAGATACCCAGCTGTAAGTCTGTAAATACGTGTATATTGACACCCTAAAAGTTGTCTCAAAACCTACATATGGTAGGGTGTAAGCAACTATTAAATTTCAAGGTCAACGGTCACAAACATCGGTTTTTTGCGCTTTTTTTAGAAATATCTCTTTTTCTGTGGGTTTTTTGCTATTTGTATTTATTATCAATATTGTAGAATACTAAATTCTCTACAAATTTTGTTTAAAAACTTTTTTTATACGGTGAACCGTTTTCGAGATAGATGGCGGAGAGCGCGCGGTCACTGCATCACTACAGGTCTACTTAAACGGTTTAGATTTTTCATACAAAAGGATTTTCCCGCTAATTCCTGTGGGAATTTCGGGAATTCCTTGTTGTAACTAAGCTTTGAGTTTACTAAGGTACCTACATGCCAAATTTCAAGCGTCTAACTTCCGTTAAGCGTTTAGATTTTTCATACAAAAGGATTTTCCCGCTAATTCCTGTTCCCGTGGGAATTCCTAAGTATACTATAACCTGCCCAGGTGTATGAAGAATAATTGTACCAAGTTTCGTTAAAATCCGTCGAGTAGTTTTTGTTTCTATAAGGAACATACAGACGGACAGAATTCTATACATGAAATATATTTTCAAAATAACTATCAGGGGGTGATTAGTGATCGATACTGATGCCAAAAATGCAATCAGTAAAATTTTTGTCTGTCTGTCTGTCCGTCTGTATGTTCCTTATAGAAACAAAAACTACTCGACGGATTTTAACGAAACTTGGTACAATTATTCTTCATACACCTGGGCAGGTTATAGTATACTTAGGAATTCCCACGGGAACAGGAATTAGCGGGAAAATCCTTTTGTATGAAAAATCTAAACGCTTAACGGAAGTTAGACGCTTGAAATTTGGCATGTAGGTACCTTAGTAAACTCAAAGCTTAGTTACAACAAGGAATTCCCGAAATTCCCACAGGAATTAGCGGGAAAATCCTTTTGTATGAAAAATCTAAACCGCTTAAGTAGACCTGAAGTGATGCAGTGACCGCGCGCTCTCCGCCCTCTATCTCGAAAACGGTTCACCGTATAAAAAAAGTTTTTAAACAAAATTTGTAGAGAATTTAGTATTCTACAATATTGATAATAAATACAAATAGCAAAAAACCCATAGGAAATGAGATATTTCTAAAAAAAGCGCAAAAAACCGATTTTTGTGACCTTTGACCTTAAAATTTAATAGTTGCTTACACCCTACCATATGTAGGTTTTGAGACAACTTTTAGGGTGTCAATATACAAGTATTTACAGACTTACAGCTGGGTATCTCTAATTCCGAGATTCTTACCTAATTTAAGCTTAAATGACTGGACTATTATTGTATTTTGTATCTATAAATATGGTGTATTTTATAAAGTAAAGTATCAAGTAAAAGGGTGGTACAATTATGACTGACCAACGAGTACTCTTTTAAACTTTTTCTTTAACTTAAACGTTACTTGTGTTATAGTTTCACAATGTCCTGTCCTAGTCTTCTAACTTGTAGTCCCATAGTTGTATAGTCTTGTCTTATAAATGAAATTTTAATAATGTCCTTTCTATCTCAGGTGGACACTGCTGACAACTCGGAGTACATACTGGATGACGACGAGTGCCCGTTAGCCATCGTGATGTCGCACCCCCACCATAGTAAGTACTTTTAATGGTATACTAGCTTTTCATGCGATCTGGGGGCGAAGTGTGAGTTTACGTCAAAGGCATTCGATATTTTCTTCTTCAAAGTTTCTGCTAGGGGCGCTGTACAATCCGTTATACATCAATGTTACTTTTTTAGTCGATATCGAATGCGTTTGACGTAAACTCACACTACGCTCCCTGGCTAGCGTGCATTTCAGACACACATCGTAGTTCGTACGTGTCCACAAAATAGAGAAAAGAACTATCCTGTATTTTCCAAAAGTCTCAGACTGTGTACCTCATCTAAATCGGTACAGTGGTTTATTCGTAAAATGTACTAACTGAACGCTGAGAGGCATTAATATTTACTGTTCGGCGAATTACAAGGATTTTTTCAAGCACATCAAATAAAATAGTAACACTAGAAGTTTACTTACACAACATTACCAGTTACTTAGTTCTCTACAATTTGTTTTAGGACAAATACAATCGCTAAACTAGCTTGTTTTCAACCGACTTCAAAAAAGGAGGAGGTTCTCAATTTGAACGATTATTTTTTTGTTGAATAGGTATTATCAAAAGGGTGGTTTCATGCGAATTTGAAGAAAATATTTCACCCCCAAGGGTGGAAAATTGGGGATGAACTTTTTTATACGCAATATTTTTAATTTTTTTTTTGTGTTTCAGCATTTGAAGTCGGTTTTATTTTTTTAAAAATTTAATTATTGTTGTCCAAATACCACAAATCATATTAGTATTATTACTAGTATTATAAAAACTTTTACGTGAGTTATTCGCTTTGCCATATTATTGCTCTTACTTTTTGTAAAATACGTAATCAACCACGCTAGTTTCAGCGCAGGTAATAGCAGCAGCAGCTCTCGATAATATCTATATCGTAAATCGTAAACTCAGTAATTTAGTCATTCTTTAAATTATAAGGTTGTGTACGTAATAATCATACATTTTTATAACTTATTCATTTTCACTCGTATATTTTAAGGTTTCATTATGATTGTATGTAGGTTTGTTAAGCATTTAGTGGAATCGATTAGTTCGTTCGTTTAAGCCGAAAGACGTCCACTGCTGGACCTTTGTCCAGCAGTGGACGTCCTCTAGCTCGGCCTCCCCCAAGGATTTCCACAAAGACCGGTCCTGCTCCGCTTGCATCCTTGAATCGATTAGTATTCGGTATTTAATATCAACAAAAATAGTATTTTCTACGAATTCGTGTTATTTGTTCAGTCCAGTTGCAAGTTAAACGAAAACACCCTTAACTTTTGCGGTGACCAAAACTTTTGAGACCCACCTTAATTTTATAACATAACTAGCTTTCCGCCCGCGGCTTCGCCCGCGTGGAATTTTGTCTGTCACAGAAAAACTTTATAGCGCGCGTCCCTGTTTCAAAAACCGGGATAAAAACTATCCTATGTTCTTTCCCGGGACTCAAACTATCTCTATGCCAAATTTCATCAAAATCGGTTGCGAGGTTTAAGCGGGAAAGCGTAACAGACAGACAGACAGACAGACAGACAGACAGACAGACAGAGTTACTTTCGCATTTATAATATTAGTTGGGATTAGTTGGGATTTATGAAGCCACACGGCTCCGCTGCGCGTAGTTTGTGGTTCGTGACGAAAATACAAGTGCACATCCCCCGGGGTCTTACGAATCATGAATATATCGAGTATCGAGTTACACCATGCTTGATATTCAGACGTAACAGTGAATACATTTAAAGAATTGAATGCGGTTACAAAATTACTTCTTCATAATGTTACTAGAGATATTAGGTAAATACTTAGATGTATATTTTTTATTTTATTTATTAGGGTGGATTCGACCAAACAAGTTAATATTAATCTCAGAATAAATCGTCAGTTTTGACATATTTCCCATACTGAAACTGTCAATGTGCCAGTTATACCAGGAGTTATTCTCGGATAAAAGTTTGGTCAAATCGGACCTTAATTATATTATATTGAGCTAACACCGTTACAAACTTACAGACAGTAGGCACACTATTGGATACAAATAGATATAATCTTTTAATTTCACACTACGCTCGTAGAGCTTGTTATTGAAACACGCAAATCTAATCATACGGCTTTGTTGACTCCGTTGCACTCAAATCGATCTAATCGTGTCGCCCGATCCGTGTGTGTGTGCAACGATAATTACTGCGGCCGCCATTCACTTACCGGCATCAGATAACCGTCCACGAATCAAGCGGCCTTCCGAAATCAATACCAGCAGATCTATCTTACACTGATACGTGAGAAATTGCACTAAAATGTTTTCGGCGCTATTCGAAAGTTGATAAGTGTTCGTTACACGTCTCGGCCGGTGAAAGTTCTTAAAAACTTAATTAAGTGTGCAGTGGTATATCGAAGCCACTTCTTAATAAAGTAACATTTCATACGATGGCACCACGCTATAGTCTGTGATTGATTCACATTATCTCTAATTTAAAATTACATTAACCAAAACATCGTAATGAATAATACGAGTATATTAGCTAAGGCAAGGCTTACGAGTCTTGCCTGTCTTTCTGCTTCTATAGAAAAAAACATCTCGTATATTGCACACTTCACAACCCCCTGCGGGCTTCACCACCGGACAACTAGACGTGAATTGGGATTACTACCCTTCACAATTGACATCCCAAGACGAAGTAGATAAGCAATTGGATTTATCATTGATCATATCGCTCGTTAATAATCTGGTTGTTTTTGAGACGCGAGTAAATTGGTATTTATTCACGTGCTTCACTTTAGATCGCATTTGTTACTTTTTACCCATTGGTGTGATTGAACACGAGTTTTTGTTTAGTGTAAAACCTATGGTGAAACTAAATTAAATTATTGGATTAAGTCAGAATGATTAACTTGTTCAACGTTTGCAATAAATATGTTATTTTCTTTCAAAAACATAGTTCCAATACAAATTAATAAATTGCAATTATATTAAAAAGCGAGCACATTCATGTTAATAATTTATTGTATCAAGTACTATAAAAACCAAGCTGAAATCATAATAGTTTTCCATATAAAGCAGTGGAAATTGGAAAGTGGCTACAATTTTTGTGTCAAAGCTCAAAAGACAAAAGTAGTTTTTGTTCCGTGTCTTGAGGGTCGGTTTTCCCCAACCGTGAGTGTGGTACGGCACGCGAACGGAACTAGCAAGAATATTGGTTGCACTTTCAGTGGTTATCGGGCGTGCCGTCCCTCCCACAGCTTGGGGTGTCTTGTATGTTGACAGAGAGTTTTATTTGGCTGGACAGACTGAAATGGAAACGTCGGCTGCGATTTCTCATGCAACTCTATTGTGTCTAACATTTTCGATCAAAGCTTTTGTTCAGGATATTGGAGAATTCAAGAAAAATACAAGATTAAGGTTAATACACGATTCAAAACGTCATATTGTAGAACGATTTCACATTATTATCATATAATCCTAATTTTGTTGAAGCACAAACTCTTTAGTAAAACAAATAAAGCTTTTACATGGTGGTTACAAAGTAATTAACAGAAAATGCTCCTATTCTAGTCTTTCGTTGTTTTGCCATTCCCTAAAAACCGACAGGCACTTACAGGCGCAAAAGAAAATGCAATATCATTGTGTTAATGACAACATTAGCAGCACTAGCAATTACTGCTTATTTCCAAACAAACGATTCCATAAAAATGCGTCAGTGAGTGATGTCTGCCTATTTTTGTTAACATGCCTGTGATTGTATGAATATTAAACCATTCATTTATATGTGTCTGTTCACTACCATATTATACTAAAATTATCGACATTCCCTCCCGGTGGAGAGAGGCGTTTGTGATCCGCCATACATATCGCCACTAATTGACAACGCTACGTCTTCGTTAGTCAAATTGCTAATTCAATACTAACTCCAGTGAGACCGTTCTCTATCCATCCAAAAATTTATTAAATTAATTCAAAGGAACAACTTCTATAAAATAACCATTTCTGTTCTTTGATTCGCGCTAATTGCCAATTTCAAACTAGGGGCATGCCAACAACAGCACGAGTGCTTGAATTAATTAAGTTTTCAGTGAAATGAAATTTTCAATATTTCGTCATTCTTCATTTTTGTTTTTTGATTTTGTACTATAGTGTTATTTTCATGATATTATGTGCCTAATACTGACCATCGATAAATGTGATGATGGGATTGGGCAGGGAAAGGGATTAAACTCATTCAATGTGGGACAGAGCATATTAAATCAACCCTCTCTGTATGCGGAGCGTCACATTGATTTACATCGCAGATGGTTGATTGACTGAAAATTAAACTTCACTGAACAATCCCGCTATTGTAGCAAACATTTTTGAACCAAAGTAAACATTTCGTACACATACACGTTTTTAATTCCAGTTTATGTGAGGGTAAGCCAAACATTATTTATACACAGTACATTTCCATGCAAATTACCATTTTACCAGACAACAATATAGAACCGCAAGCGCGGTACGCTTTAATCTGCACGAGTCAAGTATAATCTCTTAATCAACGCGAGTTGTAATATGATTTTATTTTAATTGTGATTTATGTATTCCTTACAATAAAATAATATCAGACTTCTGTCGTACGTAACCCAGTAATGTAAAGTAAACAATCGACTTCGTACAATATTAAATTTGAACTGCCTTCAGCGCGGGTTAGCTTCGTTAGAAGTTGGGCCACGGCAATTTACAAGTCAAATAAAGGAGTCTCAGAATTTTCAACGTAAACGTATTTCGTTTGAACAAATCCACTGTTAAATGTTGAACTTGCATAGGTAAAATACAACGTGGTAGAGTTTACTTTCAGTTTTACAGCAACTTGAATATGGAATTTTAACCCCTCTTGCTACTAGAATGAGTAAATGTTTACGTCCAACACTGGAAATTCAATAGATATGAGATTATAGGGTAGGTACTTCATCACTCCTTCTTCCACAACTTGAATGTTAACAATGATTTAACGAGCTGTTCATTTACACTAGTTCAGTAACCG